TATATAGTGTCCTTCTTTATCCCTTTTGATTAACTTAGGTTTGAAGTTGAATTTATTCGATATGAGTATGGCCACTCCTGCTTGCTTCCAAGGACCATATGAATGGTATGTCTTTTCCTGTCAGATGAGTCTCCTGAAGGCAGCATATTGTTGGGTCTGTTTTTTTAATCCAAGTTACTAGCCTATGTCGCTTGATTGGTGAGTTTAAGCCATTAACATTTAGGGTTACTATTTATATATGGTTTGTACTTTCAGTCATGTTTGTTTATTTATTCATTTTATTTATTTTAATTTGGCTTGTTTTTCCTCTTTGGTTATTTTTCCCCCCTTTACTGAGATACCTCCCACTGTTAGTTTTGGGTTCTGTTTTTCGTTTCCTCTTCTTGTAGTGTTTTGCTCCAAATGCTTTGCAGTGCTGGTTTTCTGGTTGCGAATTCTTTTAACTTTTGTTTATCGTGAAATATTTTAATTTCGTTGTCAAACCTGAAGCTTAATTTTGCTGGATACAATATTCTTGGTTGGAATCCATTACTTTTCAGTGTTTGAAATATGTTGTTCCGGGATCTTCTCACTTTCAACATCTGTGATGAAAAATCAGCTGTCAACCTAATTGGTTTACTCCTGAATGTAATCTGCCTCCTTTCTCTTGTAGCTTTTAATATTCTCTCCTTGTTCTGTATATTGGATATCTTCGTAATAATGTGTCTTGGAGTTGGTCTATTATGATTTTGTATGTTTGGGGTCCTGTAGGCTTCCAGAATTTGGCAGTCCATTCCATCTTTCATTTCTGGAAAGTTTTCTAAGATTATTTCATTCAGTAGGTTGTTCATTCCTTTGGTTTGGACCTCTATACCTTCTTCTATCCCAATGACTCTTAAGTTTGGTTTTTTTATGACATCCCATATCTTTTGGATGTTTTGCTCGTGGTTTCTTACCAGCCTTTCTGCATTGGCTATAGTCTTTTCAAGTCGATAAACTTTATCTTCACTATCTGATGTTCTGACTTCTATTTGATCTAGTCTATTTGTAATATTCTCATTTGAGTTTTTGATTTGGTTTATGGTTTCCTGCATTTCTAGGATTAATGTTTGATTTTTTTTAAAAAATCTCTATCTCCTGGTAGAGTTCATGTTTTGCTATTTTAATCTGCTTATGTAATTCATTTTCAAAGTATTCTTTCATTGTTTGGACTTGCTGACTAATGACTTCTTTAAGATTCCACTCCATCTGAGTCAGGTATGCCTTGAGTTCTTTCTCTGTCCATTTTTCTGATGCCTCTAGGTTCTCCTGTAAATTTAAGTTATCCTGTATTGTTTGTAATCCTTTTTTCCCTTGTTTTTTCATGGTGCTCATGTTACTTTCTAACTCTGTTTGAATGCTATGTTTCTGTTTTCTCCTATAAATTTGTTTTGTTTTTTATAGGTCCAGGATCTCTCCTTTGTATTGGGAGACAGTGTTTAGAGATGTTGGATTTAATTGTGATTTAAGGTAAATTCATTAGTTTCATTAAATGCCTACAGATTTTGATGGCATATAGAGAATTGAGGTTTGAACTTAGGATTTTATGTTGAGTTTGGGAGATTTGATGGTATGGAGGTTAGTATATGTTAGCTTCTTTGGGGGTTGCTCAAATGCAGGCGGATATTAACAAGAGAATAGACAGGAGTACTTGGGGGTAGTTAAGGGCTTAGGCGAACTATAGACCGACTGGTAGTATTCATCTATTTGCATTTAGTAAATTATACGTAATCGGGGTGGTCATGCTTAAGAGGAAGATAGGGAAAAGGTAAGGAAGCAAACCAAGAAAGAGAGAGGGAGAGAAGAAAGAAAGGGAAAAATAGAAATGAAAAAGAAATTATAAAAAAATAATAAAATACAGTAAAATAAAAATTACAATAAAAAAATTAAAATTAATTAAAAAAAGGCACTGTTAGGCTTCTATTTTCTTCGCTTCCAGTAGGTGGTGCTGTGCCTTCTGGGCCAAGATTTTGCCCTCTGGCTATAGGAAACAATCCGTGTGAGGCCGCTCCCTCCTCCCCTACCTGGTGTCTCTCCAAACCTGTTAGCTTAGGTTTATTCCTGGTCTCTAGTCTCCTCACTTCTCCTGCCAGACAGGCCTTCCCCAGTGTGATACCTCTCCGAAGTTCAAGCTACACTCTGGGCCTGCAGTGTCCTGGATGTGGAGCGAGGCTATTGGGAACCGGCCCCCTATTGTTTTGATTTCCTCCGATAGCCACTCCTCCAAGAGCTGGCGAGACAGGTTTCAGGTTTCGTTTTCGCCGCTGGTGGGAGGAGGGAGTTGGAGGTCAGGTGCCTTTACCTTTCCCCACACCTCTATTCACACTCATTCTGATAATCACGCCCTCGGAAAGCTGGGGAGAGATTTTATGCGCTTTCCCTGCTGTATGGGAGAAGGGCTAAATGTCACACACATTTCTATCTATATGTTCTATCGCTGAACTTGCTGCGATCTGTCGGAGACTGGCGATGGTGACGTCAGCTCTCCAAGATGGTGGCCGCTGGCTTCCTCAGTGGGTTGTCCGGTGTGGAGCACAGATCTGGACTGTTTCTCTCCCCTGTCTCAAACCCAGAACTCAGCCTGGAGCACAGTGAAGGCACAGTTGGCAGGACCCCCACAGAGTCTGCAGCACCGTTTCTCTATGTTGCTGGCATGCCATTTCTTGGCGCGCAGTCTCTGGCTGTGGGGCAGGCCACTGATCAGTCAGCCTGAATCTCCAGGCCCACAGTTCACTTGAGATTGAGCCACAGTAATTGATACTCCGGTGCTGGAAATCCTTCCTCTAGGTTTTGGTGCACCCCAATTTTGCTGGAAATTCCTAACAAGATAGCTTTTGGCCGTTCTAACTCGTTATTCACCTGTGCAGTGACGAGGTACACAGGGGTGATGCACTCTATTCGCCACCATCTTCTCCCTCTCATGACCCATGTATTAAAGGGCCAGTAACAGATACAAAAAGACAGACAAGAGAGGATCAACAAAACCAGGGCTGACAGACAGGAACCATTAAAACAGACAGACCTGCATGTACAAATTAATTCCACTTACTTTACCTTTGACAAAGCAACTCCAACTGCAAGATTGTATAATAATCCAGAAAGCCAGACCATTACAATAAAACATTATCTTAGACAGGCTTATACCTATAGGTATCCCTTTTTGTTTTTAATATTTTTTTTATTTTAGTTGTAGTTGGACACAATACCTTTATTTTATTTTTATGTAGTGCGGAGGATCCAACCTAGGGCCTCACACGCACTAGGCGAGCACTCTACCGCTGAGCCACAACCCCAGCCCCAGGTGTCCCTTTCTTAAACTCATTTACCTCTGTGAGACCAACTCCAGTTGCAAGATTGTACAAAAAAGAAGCACAGAGTCAGACAACTAGAGAGGAACTTATCTCACAACCCAAAATCATGGCCAACAGACAGGAACCTTTAAATTGACCAGGCAAGATCTTTCCCAGGAGACTATCTGTAGGATCAATGCAGTAGTGACCATGTCTTAAAAGGGGCAGTAACAGATACAAACAAAATGAAAACACAGACAGACAACCAGAGAAAGTTCTCAAACCCAAAGCCAACAAATAGATGAGAACCTAGAACAGACCAGAAGAGAGTAATGTCCCTAGGTTTCAAATCCTGCTTAACTGTGACACCTACACCAGTGGCACCACAGATGTCCCCACAAAGAGGGACTATATGTTCCCATGAAGAGGAACCAGAAGTATAGAATCAAGGTTCTTGGCATGAACACTGAAGGACTTAACCAGATGGCCAAGAGTGTCGCAACTTTACAGAGTTCAGTTTCCTTTTTCTCAAAGTGGACCATGATGGAGTAACCTGTTCTTTTCAGGGAGAGAAGGCAGGAGTTCCCCAAAGCAAAAGGAGCTGTGGCAGCTGCTGAGATGGTCCCTCAGTCCCTCCCTTACTCACAGGAATAGCTCCTCTGGTTAGAACTGAGGCAAACTCATCTGTCTCCTAACTCTCCTACTGCTCTCAACAAGTTCACCAGCATCTTGCATCCTCAGCATGGAAGTGGGGTTCTTTGGACAGCCAGGCCTGCTCAAGAAAGCTGGAATGAGGGCTGATCTTGGGTCCCATATGGAGTGCCACATTTGTTGGCAAAAGCTTAGTTCTTGTCTCCAATAACAGAACATGGTTTTGAGAAAAAGGAAAAAGGTTTTGGCTTTGCTAGCAAAGGAGAAACAGAGGGGACTCCTGTTTATGTGTCTATGATTCTTAACCATCAGTAGTAACAGGGGGCTTGTAAAGAGGTGATTCAAAGGCTATTTTCTCTGTATTCTCTGATGTATTTGTTGATACTTTTTTTCTTAAATTCTAAGTTTGACCAGTAAATACCTATTTTATCTTTGAATTGAAGTGGGGAGATTATATTCTCTGAAATTATGATTTTCAAATTGAATGATTTTTTTTTCAAATTGAAGTTCATAATACATTAAATTAGGCATTTTAAGGGGAATTTGGTACATTTAGTACATGCACAACCACCACCTCTATCTAGTTTCAGACTATTTTCATCACCCCCAAAAGGAAAGGAAACTGCACTTTTAGCAGTCACTTCCAGGAAATCTCTTCCTCCAAGCCCTGGGCAACCATTAATAGGCTTTCTGCCTAAAGATTTGTCTATTTTGGACATTTTATATAAATGGAGTCATGTGGTACATGGCCTTTTATGTCTGGCTTTTACTTAGCATATGTTTTCAGGATTCATCCATGTTGTAGCATGCATCAGTGAGAAATCAACATCTGTGCTGAGGGATCCTTCTCTTCCCTCTACTTTTTCTAGTGGCTGTGCAGCAACCCACTGCTACCTGGCACATAGCAGACATGGATGACTTTGCTGTCTTCCAGCACAAGTGGTTTGAGGTGGCCTTTGTGTCAGAAGAGCTCTTGCACTCCAAGATTACTGCCTTCCTCCTGCCCTGGCTGCCCAGCTGGCAGCCTCCTACACAAGCAGGCATAGCTCCTTTAGTCACAATTTTGGAGGATGGAGCCAAGTAGTCACACTTTTGGTAAATGCTTGGTCCAGCTGGATGTGGGGATGTATGAGGAGGTGCCTGGGAAAGGGTAGCAGCTAACCAAGGGAATGATGCCATGCAAACTAGGATTAGACTTTTTATATCTCCATACCTGCCACTGTTTTTTTGGCACTTTGGACTCTTGTGCTCTCTTCACTGACTGAATTGATCCAACTTCATTGTTTTCCCAGCCAAGAGATATATTTAGCATTTCTCAAATCAGAGCATGGTGCCAAATTGCAATTATAGAAGGCAATAGAAAATGTGACCCTTAGGATACAGGGGTGTAAGCTGGTGCTCACTGCAGATTTAGTTCCTGCCAGATGCCTTCCCTTGAACTCTAGCATCTGAGGATCTCAGAAAAGGAAGGAACCTGAAAGGTCACCCAGTGCAGACACTGGATGCCTTCCTCCCCAGATGTACTTACCAAACTGAAAGATATCAGTTGGAAATATTTTCCCCTTTTCATGGTTCCTGAAACTCTTAAGATTTTAAGATAGGGGTGAATACCTGCTTATGAAAAGGAAATGATGATGACCTTTGATAGGAAATAGAGACTTCTACTCTGGAGGACCAGCCCAATGGGTTGTTTAAAAATCAAATAAATAGTGTTCTCTGGGTAAAGCACCATAGGACTTACCTCTACATTAGGTTGGAGAGATCCTGGGAACCTGGAAGGAAGAAAGTAGCCATAAAGATCAAACTCCAATGAAATGCCTTGTTCTGCTTTATTTGCCTATAAAGGCCCTGCTAGTGGAATTCTTATCTGGCCGCTAGAATGGAAATGTTAATAGCCATCACAATTTCCAGAGCTTTGGATTTGCTGTGATCTGGGTGTGGCTCTGACCTTACCTCACAACATGCAAAGGGATAGGAGGACAGTGCACAGCCCTGAGAAAAGTAGCTTCTTCTCCTCTCTCTCAGGCTGGCATGGCTTATCCTTCTCCCCTTTATTGTGTTTCTAATTCTCCATCTCTTAGAAATTATTTGGGATCAAAGAGAGGTTTATCCTGGGGAACTCATTTCAGCAACCTAAACTATGTAAAGCACTCTGAGGACTTGAGACCAAAGACCTGTGAGCACCTGGAACAGCAAGCAGCAGGCTGGTATGTTTTATACCATGGAAGGGTCTATTAGAAGCAACAAGTTAACAGGAGGAACCCTGATGTCAGTGGGAAACAAAGTCAATAGTCCAACAATAAAAAAGGGAGGCAAGAAAACATAATGCAAATATAGCAAGTACAAGAACTTATTAAGTACAATTAGTCATTTATTTATAGCACTGGATTATATATGGGAAATATCTCAAGAAACCAGTTTTAATGCCGTTTTCCCATTAAATCAAGTTGATGGAGTCATGTTTTAAAGCCATTTTTTCTGTTTATATACAAATTAAGAATTCTCATCTTCTCAGAAAAGCAAGAGTTAAGCTAGAAAGCTAATTATTTTTGGACATATACCAAAGAGAATTGAAAATTCAACTTCCCACTGTCTTCAAGGTTACTTTTTGAAACAAAGACACAATGAGTTACTTTAAATAAATATTGGACCATGTTTGGTGACATTGTGTTTACCTAAGAGCTGAAGGAAGCAAAAAAGTTTCTGAAGAGCCTAATAAAATAAAATGAGAGTCTCTCAACCAGCAAGAGCCTATTTACTGAGTTCCTTCAATTTTGGTTACAGGTCAGTCGATAATACCCCAGATGATAGATAGAGAATTAGGGACAAATGATGGCAGCAGGAGAACTAATCCATTTTGGCAAAATGTTTTTCAAAATATACCTATTACATTTCAGTCCTTTGAAGGTGGGAGATAATTATCACTTATTTGGAAAATGTTCTTTTCTTGAACATGATAAAATGAACTATTCCCATGTATATCTTCTCATGCAGGGCATACAAACCTTAGAGTAGGGTTTCTCAACTTTGGCACTACAATCAATTTGGACCAAATAATTCTTCATTCTTTTCTTTGTTTCTTTATTGTGCTGAGGCTAGAAACCCAGGGCTTCATACATGTTAGGCAAATGTTCTACTGCTGAGCTATACCCAAAGCCCCAGATAATTCTTTATTGTGGATGGGGTAGAAGGCTGTCCTGAACATTATGGGATTTTAGCAACATCCCTGGCTTTCTCCACCTGGCTTCTGCCCACTGGATGCCAACAGCACCCACCCACTGTGATAGAATGTCTCCTGATAATTGCCACATTGTTGCATGGGGGTTTCAGGATTGCCTCCAGTTGAGAATCCCTGCCCTAGGGTAATTGGAGGAGTCCATGGAGGAAGCATGATAGAGAGCTCAGGATACCTGAGAGCTTTGAAGCACATCAGTAACTTCCCTAAGCAGGTATGTCAAGACAGCACATAATATGGGGGTGTTTTCAGAGCTTAAAAGTAGAATCAGAGCTGGGGCTGTAGAAGGAAGCACTGTTCTCTGTTCCATCCTGGACCATGGGCTCTTCTTGTGTTTCCGTGGAGATATTTGTGGTTACTTCCATATATATATATATATATATATATATATCAGGCACTGTACCAAGCAGAAAATGATCTCATTTCAACTTCATCCCAGTTCTGTGACAGAAATTAGGGTGGTTTTGTTTAGAGTTTAAGGAACTGAGGCTTAGAAAGATGAAGTTGCTTGTCCATAATTCTATATCTATTAAGTACTAGAGCTGGAATTTATTCATAGGACTGCCTGGCCCTGAATCCTTAGCTTTAACCGTACTGTATCTAGCCTCAGGAAGACAAAAGTCAAAGCCCATCTTTAATAAAGCATCCTCATTAAGCATTCCTGTCAGTCTACAACAGGCAGACTCTGTCCTTTTGGTCAAAGCCAAGCAAGACAAAACAAAAATGAGAAGCACAAATTAGGTTCCACTCTATTCTTTCCTCTGGGACAGCCCTTCTCAAGCTTACCAGGGAGCCCCACATTGCTTAGTGGAGGGGCAAGTCCTTAGTCCTAGTTCTTTTGTCCTGTCAGCAGCATTTGTCTGATAAAACTTGACTCCTCCTTCATATGATGTCCCCACTTGGCTTGTAAGATAGTCAGTGCTCCCTCTCAGTTCTCCTCCTTGTCCAATCTCCTTTGCCGATTTCTTTTCAGTAACCTGATCTTTCAACATTGTAGCAAGCAAACCTCCTTCCATAGGCTGGTAAAGCCCTCTCTGGGCCTCCATCTCTATAGCCTAATATATCTTGTTCAGTCCAGTGTCCTTCATTACCCAGAGAATGACCACTCCTAAATTTCAATCTGTATCCCAGACATGCCATCCAGTTTGAGACATCTTTCTCCTTGACTGTCAGTTATATGGTGGATCTACAGTGTTCAAAGCTCTGCTTTACTGCCCTACCCCCATACATCTTCTCCCTTAACATTCCCTTCTCATTCTGATTACTTAGGCCAGGAAGCTCAGTCACCTTCATGTTCTTCTTTATCTCCTACCCTGTATCCATTCCATCATCAAGTTTTGTCTTCCTTTTATCTGCCTTTAATATAGACCCAGAATTGACCAGTTCTTTCCTTTGGTGTTTTACTATAGCCAGTATCATCTCCTGTAGTTACCTTTTGATGTCTTCATTCCCCATATTCTACTTTCCACACACGAGCCAGAGAGACCCCACATTGTAAATGGGATCATGTGCCTCTTCTGGCATCATCCTCTTGTGGCTCCCATTTTACTGGGAATAAAAGCCAGTCTTAAGCAGCCCTCAGGCTCTACCCCATGTGGGCTACTCACTCTGTCCCATCTCCTGTGTATCTCTCATGCACTTTGCTATTCACACTGACTTTTATGCACATGGGCCAACACACCAAGCACACTTCTGATTCTAGCCCTTTCTTCTACTTGAGATACCAATTCCCTAGATGTCCTCAGGGCTACCTCCCACCCTTCAAGCTCACATGTGAGACCTTCCATGACTCCACCCTCTGCTCTTCAGGCCCCTGATACCCACCCTCTGTTTTGCTCTTATCAACTCTGGACATTGTGTATTTGTAAAGCTTGTGTGATTCTCTACTTCCACGAGGACTTAAGCTCTGTTATGATCTTTGTTTTATTCACTGGCTGTCCCCACTCCTAAAACAGTACTTGATGCATAGTCAGTTTCCATCAATACTTGTTGAATATATGAAAAAATATGAACAAATGTATTTTGTCAGAATTGGGGAAAATTGCATTTGGAATGTTAGGTTTAGAGTCTGCAAACCTTCTACGTAAGCAATAAATTCTCAGTTTTTCATAAAGATAATAGTAGTTCTGTCATTCATTCTGTAGAAAACACTACCAGCCTGGGAACAGACAAGCTGCCTATCCCCTAGATGTATGCCTGGTCCTTTCCCTGTGAACAGATAAGTAGAGAGGTGCATGGTTCCAGCCTGTTTGCAGCACTTGCTCCTTGGTTAGAGTTATTGCTTCTGGGAAATGCTTCCAATATTGCCACCTTTGCATCATTTAGGTTCTGGAGGCTCTCTTGACAGTGTCCATCCAAACATCCTCCTTACCAAAGTCCTCTCCTTTTTAAAAAAAAATATTTTTTAGTTTTAGGTTGACACAATATATTTATGTGGTGCTAAGGATCGAACCTAGTGCCCCATGCGTTCTAGGCAAGCACTTTACCACTGAGCCACAACTCTAGCACCCAAAGTCCTCTCCTTGTGTAGGCTAGAAAAGTCCTTTCCTGAGTGCCACAACCTTCTGCTCAAGACAGCATTCAGGTCATCTCAGATGAGCTTTGGTTCTTAGTGCTTAGAGAATGACAAAAAAAGAAAAAAATTAAGTCACTATTCGAAACCAAGGGAGAGTAGGAAGGGAAAAGGATTTATCCATAGCAGTTAGTTGATTGGACAGGTATTGCTCATGGGGATCTTTCAGTGAATCTGAAACTAGGGAGGATTTTGCATGTGTGTATGTTTTCTGGGGAAACATTCTTTTATTAGCTTTTCAACAGCTTCCAGGAAATAACTTTTTTTTTCCTTTTAAACTTGATATGACCTTATTACAGCTAATTATGTCCAGTGACAGCTCTCTGACCTTTGTGTTAGGATTTGGGAGGTTTCTCCTAAATCTTTTTCCAAGTTAGAATATAGAGTTTACTTTGTCATTTACTTAAGTGAAAAAGATCTATTGTATTTATTTATTTACTGTGATGCTGGGTTTGAAACTCAAAAGCTCACACTTTAGGCAAGCACTCTCCCACTGAGCTATATCCCAGCCTAATCTATTGTCTTTAAATTGAGTTATCTTTCCTGGGGGAGGTGGGAAATAACATTATTCATGATAGGAAAACAGCCTATGTATCATATGTGACCTATTCATTTTTTTTCATGTGTGTTTATTTTTTATATCCTCCTTTTTAAATGCTTCTTATTCTCAATCGGCTCTTACTAATGGAAAGTTGTTTTGAAATTCTTGATGTCAGCACATGGTCATCTCTGACTTCACCTGTGGTAGCTCCCACTTCCCTACCACTGTGACCCTGTGTTGCTGAGCTGAGAAGCTCCAGGGGCATCTGACTCTTGATGAAGCAGCTACATGCCTTAAACCCACTTATGGGTCTTCTACTTCTCAATCTTTTCTTGATGACATGCTGGATATCAGGGTCAGTAGGGACTATAGAGTACCTATTTCCAAACCCTAACCTTGCTTCTTTTCCAAAGCACTCCAGGTTAGTGGGAGCTAGCTTCTCTTTGAAAACACCTTTGACATGGCACTCACTCCTAAGACCACCCACTTCATTATCTGGTGGTTCTAGCAGTTGTACTGGGTTTCAGTCCCTTTCCCTGGATTATGTTCATCCTCCTCCAGTGACAGATCCTTTCCCTGAGTCATTAATAGCACCCTAGCTCTTATCTGGGTCTCAATCTGTTCTCCCCCTGAGTTTGCATATATTTATTGGACTGCACATATCTCTATGTCCCCAAGATGAATAAGTTGGTTTCCATGGAACTTGAGGAATGACTTCATCTCAGGTGGTCTCACACCTTTGTCAACCCTGCAAACTTTCTGGAAGCATCTGTACTGTCAGATCTGACCTCTGGAGAATGAAACCAGTGATATCTTAAACATATAACCACTTGGCTGAACAGTATACTGCCTTGGGCTTCTCTAGACCAGTCTGTGCTAAACTTAACATGCCAGATGAAAGAGAAGAGATATGTATGGTCACTGCTGATGATTATGGAGTACGCTTGTTTTTGATTGGTGCTTTTTACCTAAGGAGGAATACAGTGTTCAAGACTAGAGAGCAAAGATTTCTGTGCTTTGAACTTGAAATAAAGGGATACTCCAAAACAGTGTCATGAATCAGGAATATAAAGCAGAGACAGAGTTTAGCTTTGTTGAGCTTTTTAGGATCAAAGTGGCCAAGTAAATGTTCCAAGTGCCTTAAGTGTAATAGATGGTATTCATGGAGTCATGAACAGGCCTCACTGTGAACATTGGCAAGCTCCTGGCTTAAACTAGGAGCAGAGATAGAAGTGAGGTGGCTGAAGGAGAAGGTAAGAGAGGACATCTCTAATCCCTTCTCTGCCATGTTTCACTTGGTCCTCACCCCTGCTCTGTGAAGCAACTGAGCTGTCACCTCTTAGTTTGGAGACAAAGAAATAAATCAGAGCTACATTTTCAGAAACATATGCAAGTAATTGGCAGGATTTTCTTCCAACTCCAAATCCAGATCTTTCCTCATTTTGTATGTTCTCCGTTGGAGGAAATGATAAGTGGCACACCTGACACTGAATATCAGTTTGACTAGGTGCTGTTCAGTGCCTTAGGTGACACTCCTCTGCCTATCAGCAGCAGCTCATTGAAACTGATGACTCAAGAGCTATTTTATCCTTGTCAGAGATAATGCCATTCAGTGCTTCTACCTGCAAAACCCAGGTCTAAGATGAGTACTTCAGATGAGAGAAACCATTGAACACATGAGGATGGGGACAATGAGGGACAGACTTTCATTTATGTAAACCCTGGATGTGACAGTATCCTGGCAAGCAGAACAGAACCCTGGCCTTTTTTAACTTCTGACCTATTTTAGGCCTTTACTCTTGTCAGGAAGTTGATTTTGTGTCTCATCTCCAAAATATCACTATCTTGGGTTGAGCAGAATTTCTGAGCAGGGATCCCAGATAGGAGAGCAAGTTTGGTACTGAGCCAGAATCCTTCAGTGACATGTGAATGATGGAACAGGGTGTTAAACTTCAATATAATGTTTTACTTATTGAGAAAAGATTTTAGAACTAATGCCTTTGTGGTTGAAACCAAAAAAGCAAGACTTCCTCCTCATCAAGGCCTGAACTGATTCTCCTTTTGTTCTCTTATGGCTAACTGGAATCAGAAGATCTGGGGT